GGGGTCAAATGAGGAGAACATTTCAGGAAGAAGTAAAGACAACAATATAAAATGTCAAAGGGATATTGAAAGACAAACTGAAGAGTCAGTGGAAGTGGTGTCTTTTTCAGAATATGTTTCAGATGAATTATGGGAACAGAAGCCTATTAAAGTAGAAGGAATTGTGACTGGGAAGTAATGAAGAGGAGAAAGTGTGGGGAGAACTTCTAGGAACTTTATTCTAACAGGAGGGTGAGCCAGAGCACTGTGGAAATAGGGACAGGAGAGTAAGGAGATGGTCTTTTAAGAAAGAAGAGATAAGAGCATATTCATAGTCAATGGGGAAAGGAGAAGATGAAATCTCAAGAGAGTAGGACAGGATGGAATGAGGTTCTGGAGAAAAAAAATAGGAGGAGCAAGAGCATAAACAGAGGAATCAACTGTGACCAGAAGCAACTATTCCCTATTAGAAGAAGATAGTGTAGTGCGCACTAGACAATCTTGAACAATTGGCAGTTTTAAGCCAAATCTCACATTGCAAATCTTGGACAGAAAATTTTTTTAACTTTTGTATTAATCTTTGTTTTCACATTCATTTTGTGTAATCCCTACAAAAACCCATTAAGGCAAGCAGAGTGGGATATTTGCTTGTTTGTTTTCAGATTTGGTGTTCTAGCCTCCATCTTACAAAAGGAAAATGAAGCTCAAGATTATATGATTCCTTCAAGATCATAGAATCAGTATATGACATAAACTAAGGACTCTCAGCACAGTGCTTTTCCCAACACCTCAGGGACCATTATGAAGAATTCAGTGTGGTGGTGCAGAGGCAGCCTGGTAACACTTGAAATTCCGACGGGAGAATCCCTGCCCACAGTCACTTCTTTGATTGACAACAGACGCACTTGGTTGCCTGAATGTCTCTGAAAGTTAATAGTGAAGTGAATGCTGTATCTTCTCTTGAGATGACCTGGGTATGTGCAACCTTTGAAATGTTCCTTTAATATTAGAGGAAAATTTTAGACTTTTATTACTTTACCAGTATGAACAAGGAGAGTATTTGGTTAATATAAGTGCTTTACTATTGCTTGAAAGGACCCCCCCTCCCCCCCACCCTCTGCAACCCCTTTCTTATGCTGCCAGGTAAAACTGAGGTATGTGGAATTAACAGCCCCAGGCATATCACTGACAACTTCACTAGGAAAGAGGCAAAATGAGACCCCTTGCCAATCTTCCTCTCAGTGAACAGGAGCACTGCCCTTTAGCATAAAATATGAAAGGAGGTTTCTCTAGTTGTGCCAACTCAGCAAGAGAAAAAATTAACCCCACGTGTTCTTATCCCAGTTGCCTCAGCATGAGTGAGGAGGGAGAGACCAGAGTTGTCAGCATGAGACAGAGAGCAGGCTCATTGTGTATGGCTTAGAAGGAATCCCAGACTCCCCAGATATGAACACATTTCTAGGTTCATCATACATTTTTCTAAGGTTCTCTACAAGTCCAGATAATCTGGCAGAAAAAACCAACCCTTTAAATGATTTCTTCTTCTGTTTAAATTTGGAAATGTGTGGTAGAAATTAGCATTTAAAAAAATTAACAGTTTCAATTATATTCAGTAGAATGTCTCCATTTAATTAATTCACTCAGTCCCTGAGTGACACTGGGTGTGGCTCAGAGAGATTTAGGAGAAATACAATTTATAACTAGGAAGAATTGTCTGCATCAAGCAATCCTTCCACACCTTTCCAACACTGCAAGGAAGGGAGAGGTTGGAACTCTAAACCACAGATCACACTCTCTAAGATCGAGTTTATTTGTTGTGTGAAGAAAAAGGCGGATATTGGTATGGTTTAAGGGTGGGGGCTGAGGGGCTACTTGCTTGTATTGGTAGTCTTTACACTTCAGTTAAAGTCCTCAGTTTTAAACAAAGGAAATACCTCATAGTTTTCTGGCTTCATGAACTCAGATCCTATCTTGCAAGTTTTTCATCATCTGCAATATGCATGGTAATTAAGCTATTTAAAGTTAGCCCCAAGATATTTGAAAATCATAAGCCAATAAAATCTCAGGCGTTCTTCTATTTTATTCCTCTTTTACCCACTCCTTTATCATCTTCCCATCTCCTCCCCACTGCCATTCTCTTCTTCCTGCTATAATAATCTACAGTGGTAGGTAATTAATGGTAAATAAAGATCATTTATGCTTTCTTCTCACTCACTAGCAATGTATTACAACTCAGAAATCCAAGATTGCTTCTTTATGCCGCTCAAGTGGAAGAGGAAGGAAGTGCAATCTCTCCAGCCCCCTCCCATGTTTCTGCTGGATTTTATGGGTGTGGCTGAGTTTAGACCTTTGCAGGTTTTTGCCCTTGTTCTATTCCCTGTTAGAGGCTAGGATGATGCCAGAAGAAACATAAACACAATCAGATTCTGCCATGTATGATACAGGATCATTTCACCCACAAACAGGAAACCTGTGTGAGACTGAAGTACTCACACTATATAAATGCCAGTCGGTATAGTATGGAGCCCACGCCCTGAATACATTATTTCTTTCAGTTTGATTTAATACGATCATCCTACCTACTGACTTATGTAAAGGATACACAGCCATGGTAAAGAGGAAACAGGACCATTTCACACAGAAGCCCATGTTTATAAAATGCATGGGCAAAATAGAATACTTTCTATACCTTTCATTTTTCTCTCTTGAATATAAACTATGCTAAAACACATGCAGGCATGTGGAAGCCATACAGAGTACATGCATGACTATTGTATATGAAGTGTGCATATGCTATACACATTTAGTGCTAATTTCTACAACTCCCAAACACAAAATTTCAGTTTCATCACTTTGCACATCCCACTGAGCATGTGGGGCTGCCACTGAGATAGCACCCTAGTGAAGGCAGCTTCCCCCTTTGGGGGAAGGGAATCCCTTTAGCCCCAATTCCCTTTCTAAAAATCATGCCTGGTTTCCTTTGTCAAAGGGGGGTATACATATACTTGTAAGTGTATACATAAAGTGGCAAAAAGTTATAATGCAGGATATTTTTATTTCCAAAAATAAAGCATTTTCAAATGAATACCACTGGCTTCCTTAGGACTTCGCCTTCCTAAATTGTATTTGCCCAGCTCATCAATGGGGCAACCTCGGAACATTTCCTTGACAGTGTGCTTAACCCAGCCACCTGTATCTATTGAATGTACGTATTAGAATGAAGGCCAGAAGTGTCCTGGTCTGAAAAATGAGCCAAAGGAAGCACCAGTCTCTAGAGCCATAGAGCAGTTTAGGGAAGTGCAGCACGTAAGGCTTTCATGCTCTTCCCCACACACCTCTGCACAACCCATACACAAAACCCCAGGTGCCTGCTTTCTTTTTTTCTTTCTCCTTTCTCTTTCTTTCTTTCTTTCTTTCTTTCTTTCTTTCTTTCTTTCTTTCTTTCTTTCTTTCTTTCTTTCTTTCTTTCTTTCTTTCTTTCTTTCTTTCTTTCTTTCTTTCTTTCTTTCTTCTCTCTCTCTCTCTCTTTCCTCTTTCTCTCTAGCCTTTCTCTCTGTCTCTCCACCCACTGCTCTGATATTCTGTCTCCTTTCCCCTTCCTCTTCCTTCTCTTACATCCTTACTCCCCTCCCCTCCTTTCAGGGCGCTGGCTAAATGTTCGTATTTGGCAGGCTGTTTCTTCTCCACTCTCTTCCTTCACCCCCTTTGGATTAGCAAGTGTATTACAAATTGCCCAATATCCAATACCTGCACAGGAATAATGCCCAATTCCTATCGCTTGCACCCCACCCCTAAGGCAGTCAATCTGCAGAGGGCTTGCTTCTTTGACCAAGACTGCCATCCCTTCCCAAGGGCACGCGCACAGTCACGCACAAGCACACCCTCGCCCATTTTGCCCCGTATCCTTCGCCAAAATCACTCAAACGTGTTCCAGTAAATGTTTGAAAGCCTCATTCGGCGAATGCCAGGGCACTGTGGGCTCCTACGGAATAACGTACTCGTTGTTCCTCCCCAACCTACTCCAATCAAGTTTCTAAAATGTCTTTCAAGAAATAAGTGAGCAATTTGAAATGGAAGAAAAACCTGGGCAATGCGGGAGGAGGGCGGGGACTGGAATTCTTGCTCATCTTGTACGTGTCCCTCTTCCTGATGAAAATGAGTCACCATGCTTATCTAGAATGTTAGCCTGACTCTGGTCACTGACAATCCCAGGAAAGATGTAAGAGAAGGGGAGGAAAGACCTGATTTCCAACAGGTAATACACGGCTGGTCTTTCCCATCCCATCTGAGCTCAAAGCTCCTAGGGGCGTGGTCCACCATCTCCTCAGACCAGCTGGTGCACAATCACTAAGGGCATTTTCCCTTCCATGCGGCCGGTTTGTCCCTCAGCCCCCCGTCGCCTTCAGATTCTCTTTTTGAAAAATAAGCATTTGGGAGATAAGCAATCTCCCAAATCGCAGTTTCATTCACTGATAAATAAATAAATAAATAAATAAATCCTTCACATGTTCTTCCATTAATACCTGCGCCCATTTGAAGCTCAGGCGTGCAGGAAGGAAGGCTTCTCCCGCGGCACATGTGAGAAAATTGTGAGGCAACACAAGCAATACTCATTACTGAATGTCATTCTTTCAGCCTGCTTTTTGCAAATATAAAGGGTTGCCTCCCCCTCTTGTAGGTAGACCCTCATCTTTCCCCCCACACCCATTTCTACATCCACACCAGTAAAACCAGACCTGAAATGCTAGACATTTACTAATACCCCCCACACCATCGTATTTCTAGCCAAACCGGGATATTTTTTCTAACCGCATCTTAATTAGTAGCAGCAATTCAAAACCAGAGCATAAGAGACAGAACAGAATAAAAGCTGGGATGCAACCGGCAGTTACCATATGCTAAGGAAAAGAGCACCATGGCCAGAGCAGAAGCAGTTAAAACATTTTTTTTCCTGCCTGTTCAGGGAAACACTGAGCTCTGGTAATTTCACAACAGCAAGAAGTAAAAATCTTTAGCTCTACCTGTTTGGTTCTTCTCATACAGCACAGCATGGTTGTATCCTCCCTTGCCTTCTTCCTGCCTTCTCTCCTTTCCTCCTCTCTCTTTCTTATTTCCCCCCCTCTCCACCTCTTTTCTGCTCGCTTGCTCACTCGCTCTCTCGCGCTGCGCGCTCTCTCTCCCTCCCTCCCTCCCTCTCTCTCTCCCTCACACACACCAGGGCAGTTAGCAGCAACTGTAAGGTCCACAGCTATTGCTCATCGCACATGCTTCTCTCTCTCTCTCTCTCCTCCCTCCCTCTTCTCTTCTCTCTTTTCTCTCTTTCTCTTCCCACCTACTCTCTATCTTTCTTTTCCTCCCCTGTCTCTCCGTCTCTTTCTCAGAATTGTTCCCTAGCTTTCAATGACTAATCACTTCCCCAGCCCCCACCCCCTTTCTAGACAGTCGCCCCCTCCCAGTCCCCTGCCAGCCTCATGAATATTTAAACATCTCCAATCTGGACCCAATTACCCACCGACTTTTAGGCTGTACTGAGAGTGTGTTGGGGTGGGGGCAGAGAAGGATATTCTAGTCGGTTCAGGAGACTGGGTGGGATGTGTTTTATGGAAGAGGGGCCTGGGGAATGCTTGTATTTCTTTACTAACTCTTCTCTTTTCCCAATATCATAAAAGCAAAGAACAGCTATTCTGAATGAGTAGTCAGACCTATACAACATGTTATATCTGCTATTTAGGTTTTATGCACAGTTAATAATTGTGAGGGTTAAATTCTCTCAAAAAATAAAATAACATGTAAATATTATACATTGTATATATATGGTACTCAGTGATCATATAATCTAAAATAAATAATATGTATAAGGCAAAATATGCACAAACATATCTCATACATGCTCTAACATTCTAAAAAATCTACATAAAGTATTGTATTTTTAACATTCTAAGCACATGAGTTCAGAAATAATACTTAGTGTTTAGAAATTAGCAACCATCCAAAATCTCATGGTAGTTTTTTTTCTTAATGCACATACACCTGCTTGAAAATTGGGGTTTCTTCGAATTTCACTGAAAAAAACTGAGCACATTTGAACACCAAGTCTGTGTGATATTAATGGTAACCCAAATGATATGTTACAGTTTGGGGAGGAAGAATAAAAGTAAACTCATTTGTTATGAGAAGCAGGGATGTATCATGAATCCCTCTTCCCCACTTCCTCCTATGGTCTTTCAATTCGAGTGAAGAAAAAGCTATCTTTTAAAAAGGTGTAAACAATACAATTCTCAGATATATAGTACTGTGTGATTTTGGAAATGTTACTGAACCTCTCTGCACCTAATTTTCTAATTCCTAGAATAAGGGTAATAATGCCAACTTATTACTGGTGAAGACCAAATAATAAAATGTATGCAAAGCACAACAAAGCCATTCTCAATACATAATAGATTTACCTCAGAGGCTGTACTTCTCTGAAATTTTGGTAAAATTTTCAAGTACCACCTCAAAAAACTTGTCAAACTATTTCTCCTTTTCTATTAGTAATGCTAAGCATCACCAATTAAATAGCTCATATTTTTTCTATTCCCTCCCAGACATAAGCCTAGTTAATAGGTGTCAACCAGACAGCTTATTATCATATATATTATCAGTAGCACTGAGCTTAATATGTGCTAAACACATTTTAACAAAATTCAAGGTACACTCCTCTCAGAATGGACTATCTCAGAGAAACAGACTCCCGAGGGGTGATCGTTATAAATTATCCCCAGAGGTCTTCCTGGGCCTCATCTGCTTCAGATCTAGCCTTACTTGGTCTCTTATTTCTCTCAACTTGCTTCTGAGTTTACATATATTATGATTAAAATACAGAGTTATGTTCTGAGCTTAATATTTTTTAACGTAATGAGGCCAGTCAGAGCCAAGCTTTCAAAATCAGCGTTCTGTAGATTTAAGTGATAGAAGAAGGTAGAGGATGGGAGGAAATGGCTTCATCAGAGACATTCTGGTTGTGGATTAGGATCACCCTATGGAGCCTGCAGGAAGCTGGAGAATGATAAAGGAAAGAAGCAGAGGGGTGAGAACTGAGGGCAAGGGAGAAGAATTGCTTTTTCTGGTGTTTAAACAGACTTAGAGCTAAAATCATTTTGTTAACTATGTGGCCCAGCGTAGGCAGCTAACACAAGCTCACATAGTAGGCCATAAAAAGAAGCCAGCTCCTGTTCTTTCAATGCACTGCCCTAAGCCCTCCCATTTATAACTTCTTTTCTTTTTTATTTATCGGAAGAAAACTTGGACCCAAGAGGCATAATGAAGTCAAACAGAATCTAGAGCTCAAGACTAGGCATAAGCCTGGATGAACTTTGTGACTAAAATATGTTAAGCCACCCCTCTTTGCATCAATTTCCTCAGTAGTTCACATGCATTATTTCATCTAATACTCCAAATGAGGTCATTGCAATTATTAATCTTATTTTGATGGAGTTACTAAAGCTAAGTAATAAGTACCTAGACTAGGTCACACAGATAAAAGAGGTAAAGTTATAACTCCAAACCCCTATTAGCTACTAAAATACGTTGCCACTCAATGGGCCTCTACACCTCATTACTTCTGGTCCTTTAAAAATTAGACAGTGTAGTGAAAATTGTTGTGTTGAAATGAAATTAGCATTCTGAAAGGTTTACCTTTTAGGCCCAGCCCTTACCTCAAGGGCCACAGAGAGCAAGCTGATGCCTTCCTCCAGTAGCCAACACTCCATATATCTCTGACCAAACGTCAGCTATTCCAACCCCTCTCAGGGGCCTGTCTTTACAGCCTTGCTTATTTCGGATACCTCCCTCTAGACATACTACATTCTGTTGTGAGGTTCTGAAAATTACTTCCCAGAAAGAAACTCAAGATTCCAAATTTAATTTGAATAATATGGAATCAATTTCAATACTTTTCCCCCTCTTTAAGCAATGGAAGTTATGGGATGGTAAAGGAATAAGGAAGAGAAAAGCATACTTTATGTGATCTTGGCAAAATATATATACATATAAATAAAATAACCAGTACTATTTTCATCCGCACCAATAAATCCACTAATCTGTATACCCCTATGATAGCCAATCCCGGAAAATACCTAGTCTTAAACTCCACGATTGGGCCTTATTTATTTTAGATTGGCAGATTAACTCATGAGACTATCAGGTAATTTTCTGACTATGTGTTAGGCAATAACACCATTCTAAAAGAAGGTGAAGAGTGGCAGAGGCCAGGACCCACTTCTACTCTCCTATTTCTTTGAATTTCACTCTAGATTGATGTTGTTTTCATAATAAACCCAAAAAGTATTGGACTTTACTATGAGCTACATTTGTCTTTTTACTCCCCCTTCCAGGAGTTAATTTTTTTAACTTTGAGTCTTCACCTTTTTTCTTGTTGTATTAGTTTGCTACGGCTGCCATACCACACACTATGGGACTTAAACAGCAGAAACTTATTTTCTCACAGTTCTGGAGGCTGGAAGACCGAGGTCCAGGTGCTGGCAGGGCTGGTTTTCTCTGAGGACCATAAGGGAAAGACTTATTTCCAACAGCTCTCCTTGGCTCACTGAAGGCCACCCTCATGCAGCCTTGTCACATGGTGGTCCCTCTGTGCATGGGAGCTCCTGGTGTCTCTCTGTATCTGAACTTCCTATTACTAAAGGACATCAGTCTGACTGGATTATAGCCCACACATATGACCTCATTTAAACTTAATTATCTCTTTAAAGGCCCTATCTCTAAATGTAGTCAGTCACACTCTGAGGTACTAGATTTAAGTCTTCAACATATGATTTTTTTCACAGGGGGGGACACAGTTCAGCCCATAAAACCTGCATTCTCTATCAGTACTTTCTTACTTGAATATATTAATATATTCAACATCTTCTATGTTGCAAAAACATCCTGCCCTCAAGGAAATACACAGAGATGAAAAGCAAAAACAAATGCTATTTTAATTAAACAGGATTTGATGCCAAATGTGTGTTATAAGAATTCAGAACAGGAAAGAAATCATTGTGGACCAGAATAGGTCTTTCATTTCATGATCAGGATTTGAACAGGTGGAGAAAGCACAATGAGTTTTAAAGAATGGAAAGGTATCACATTAGAAAAGGTAAAATGCAAAGAATCACTGTATGATCAAGGGACTGTTAATATACAGAAGAGGGGAAGCTGTAAAGGAGAACCTTCCAAGAGAGAACCTTGGAAGGGTAGGCTACACACCCAGATTAAGAAAAACTTGAAGGGTCAGGATAATGGAGTGCATTAATGCCATAAGAAATTTCTACAAACTTGAAGGCTTAAAACAGCAGAAATTTATTCTCTCATATTTTTCTAAGTCCAAATTCAAGTGTAGGCGGGATTAGTTGCTTCTCTCCAGAAGAACTCTGAGGAAGAATCCATTCCATATCTTTCTCCTAACTTCTAGTGGCTGTGGGCAGTCCTTCCCATTACTTGGTCTGAAAATGCATCACTCCAATCTGCCTCTTCTCAGATGGCCTTCACCCTTTTTTATTGAATCCAGGATGAGGATGATCTTATCTCCAGATCCCTAACTTAATTGTATCTGCAAAGACCCTTTCCCCCAAGAAAGATTGTATATACAGGCACTTGGGGTTAGGACTCAGATACAGGTTTTTGAGGTACACAAGTCAACCCACTACAGGGGATCAGACATAGGTTTGTGAGGAGAGATATTTTAGAGAATGCCTGTGTGAAGCTGTATAGTATGGAATGGAAAGAAAGGTGTAATGGGGTCCAGTAAAAGGAACAGGAAATCATTCTAATGCCCAGATCAGGAAGAGAAAGTGAACTATCTCTTTTTGAGTGCCTAGCATGTTCCAGGTATGACATATTTTATGCTTTATATATTTTGTCTCATTTACACCACAGAATAATATTCTGGGGGAAGAGAAAAATAGTAAAGATTGCAGTTGCGAAGCTTAGAGAATGAGGTTACAAAATTCAGATGTGAGGAGGTCCAGAAAGGAACCTGGTATTTTGAGAAAGGTAATGAGTCAGGTTTCTTTTTTTAAGATTTTATTTATTTATCATTAGAGGGGAAGGGAAGGAGAGAGAGAGAGAATATTAATGTATGTTTGCCTCTCATGGG